AATGACTATTTTCTACCTATACGTTAATTTATATTTTTGCTTATGTGCCTGTGCCTAAGATCTCCTATGTATATGAAATATATTTATCTTGATTTGGATGTGTTTCTTCTGTAAGCCTAAGTATGCTATATTTGTCTATCATAGCATTCTTCATACTGCACTCTACTGGTTAATTAACAAGTCTGTTTCTTTGATAGGATGCTGAACTTTTTACAGGACATATATTAGAATAATGTTAGAAATTTTTTCATTTTGTTTCTCCAGTGTAAAAGATCTTCAATGGCATACACTGGACATTCAAAAGTCTTTATTTTTTATTATTAATTTATTCATTTGAACCAGGCTCTTGCTCTGTTGATGAGGAAGGAGGTAAAGTGATATGATCATAGCTCAATGCAACCTTGAACTCCTGGGCTCAAGTGATCCTCCTGCTTCAGCCTCAAGAGTAGCTAGGACCATAGGTAATGCCACCATGCCCAGCTAATAAAAAAATTTTTTTTGTTGTTGTTGAGAGGAAGTCTCACTATGTTGCCTAGGCTGGCCTTAAGCTCCTGGCCTCAAGTGTTCCTCCTGCTTTGGCCTCTCAAAGTGTTGGGTTTGCAAGCATGAGCCATCAAAAGTCTGTTAATTTTTGACCACGCACAGCTATCAAAGTGTTTGTCAATTTTTGATGAGGGTGACAGAATCATTCAATGGGGAAAGATTAGTATCTTCATTAAATAATGACAGGACAACCAGATACCCACATGTAAAAGAATGAAGTTGGGCCTTTACCTCATACCATATACAAAAAAATTCCATTATAAAAAAAATCTTTTCTAAATCATGTATCTGATAAGGCTACAGCATCTTGAATAAACGAAGAACTCTTACAAATCATCAACAAGAAGTCAAACAGCTGAATTTAAAAATGGCCAAAAGGCAGGGTGTGGTGGCTCACATTGGTAATCCCAGCACATTAGGAGGCCAAAGCTGATGGATCACTTGAGGTTAGAAGTTCGAGACCAGCCTGTCCAACCTGGTGAAACCCCATCTCTACTAAAAATACAAAAATTAGCTGGGCATGGTGGCAGGTGCCTGTAATCCCAGGTACTTGGGAAGCTGAGGAAGATAATTTTCTTGAACCCAGGAGGCAGAGGTTACAATGGGCTGAGATCATGCCACTGTACTCCAACCTGGGTGACAGAGCAAGACTCTGTCTCAAAAAAGAGTGTGTGTGGGAGGGTGGGGGGTGGGCAAAAGACAAATAAACTTTTCTCTAAAGAAAATACACAAACAGTCAACAAGCACACAAAAAGCTCCTCAAGATCATTAATCATTACAGACATGTAAGTGAAAAACACACAAAGATGTACCACGTCATACCAAGTAAGATGATGTATTAGCTTGAAAGAAAGAAAGAGAGAGAGAGAGAGAGAAAAAAAGAAGAAAAAGAGAGGAAAGAAAGAAAGAAGGAAAGAAAGAGAGAGAGAGAAGGAAGGAGGGAGGGAGGTAGGGGGGGAGGGAGGGAGGGAGGGGGGAAGGAAGGAAGGAAGGAAAAGAAAGTAAGTATTGGTAAGAATGTGGAGAAACTGGAACCCTCAAACACTGCTTGTGGGAACAGAAAATGGTTCAGTCATTTCACGGTTTAAAAGAGTCTGGCAGTTTCTCAAATGTTGAACATAAAATTGCCATATGACTCTGTAATTCTACTCCTAGGTGTATGCCCAAATATGTGAAAACAGGTACTTATACAGCAATATCCAGAGCAACATTATTCACAGTATCCAAAAAGCAGAAACAGCTCAAATGTCTATCAATGGATAAATGGATAGACAAATGGTAGTGTACAGATGATCTTCAACTCATATTGGAGTTCTATCCTGATAAAATCATTGTAAATTGAATTTATCAAAAGTCAATAATGCATTTAATACATTAAACCAAACAAATGTCATAGCTTAGCCTAGCCTATCTTAAATGTGCTCAGCACACTTAAACAGTGGCCTCAGTTGGGCAAAATCATCTAATACAAAGTCTAGCTTATACTAAACATTGAATATCTCATGTAATTATTGAATACTATATTCAAAGTGAAAACCAGAATGGCTGTACAGGTATGCAAAGTACAGTTTCTACTGAATGCATTATAATTTTTCCAACATCATAAAGTTGAAAAACCTAAAGTGATCCATTATAAGTCAGGGATCATTTGTATACACATAACAGAATATTATTCGGCCATAAAAATAATGAAGTACTGATACATGCTACAATTTGGCAATCTGGATGAATATACAAAACAGTATGCTAAGTGAAAGAGGCCAGATATAAAAGGTCACATTATCATATGATTCTATTTATATAAAATATTCAGAATACATAAATTCCTACAGACAGGATAAATCCAGATTTGTGAATTTGGAGGCAGATTGGTGGTTGCTAGGGGCTGTAAGAAGGGGAAAGGATAGAGACAAACTGCCTACCAGGCAAGGGGTTTTACTTTGGGGTGAAAAAAATGTTTTGGAACTAGACAGAGGTGGTAGTTGCTCAATAATGTAAATGTACCAAATGCCACTAAATGTTCACCTTAAATGGTTAATTTTATGTTATGTGAATTTACCTCCACAAATTATTAAAACACAGACACATATATACTAACTGTAAGTTAAATGAATTAAATAACAAATAGGAGATATATAACTAAGGCTAGGTGGCCATAAAATCTGCTAGGAAAATAAGGCTCATGTTCTTTGTCATGACAGAATTTGTGATTTTTTAAGACAAAATAACCTGTGACTTTTATAAGCCGGCACCTCCTAAATCTGAAAACTGTGTAAAGATAAGGAGTAAAAGACTTGAAGCTAGCTGCTATCATGTGATATTTAGAGATTACGATTAGTGTAGATGATGCTGTGGTGTGCCACCAGGATCTTCCCTTTAGGATGAAAATACTCACTTCCTAGCTGCCATGCAAGTTGCTTGCTGATGACTCCATAATGGCATCTATCTCTTGAAATTTACCTTGGGTGGCTGTGTGTGCTTCTTCACCCAAATTTACACCCCTTCTCAGGGGCATATTCGATCACTTGTCAGTATGGGACTACAATAATACATTTTATATATGGCAGTGCTATGTTCTAGGGACAAATCAATGAACAGGATGGCAATGATCTGTCCTTAGGACTCAGAGGTAGTTATATAAGTAATTAGAATTAAATACGCTAAGTGATGTGATAGGAGAACACACAAATGCGATTTGACTTGATCTTGTGGCTTCCTAGAAAACACAACGTCTACTCTGAGACTTGTTAAATGATACGAGTTCGGCAAATGAAGAGGGTGGGTTAAGACAGTTAGAGGTATAGAGAAGATCACATAAAAAGGCATAAGGAGTACAGGCTATATCTTACTGTTTAGTTTTGATACATTATCTTGTGCAGATCTCAGTTTCTTCATGTATAATTAGGGAAAATAATAGTTCTTACCTGATAGCATTATTGTGAAAATTAAGTGAAATGAGTTGGGTAAAGTGATAAGTATTGTATAATCCATTATTAATGCTATTATTATTGCCAAGACATGGACAAAAATAGTTATGGTAATAAAGTGCAGAAGCAAAGCAGTCAGCATTGGAAAAGGCATACAATAAAGTCTTCAGAAGATGTTTTAAAGAAATTCAATCAATAAACTACCATGGTATGTTACAAGCAACAGGTATTATTGATTCTATCTTATAAAGAGAAAAGCAGAAGAAAAATAATACTTTCTTAAAATCATAAAGACCTTCAGTTTTACAATATAAAGGTAGGTAGCTTTAATGCCTAATACCTTCTTTCTAGCAAACAATTCTACCTATCTCTCTGATGAGAACCACAAATAGTCTGGGAAAGATGGCAGTGACTTTCTGTAAATCATAAGAGAACATATTCAGGACTACTTCCTTTAAAAATGTTCTCTATGAGATTCCTTAAAGAACTAAAAGTAGAACTACCATACGATCCAGCAGTCTTACCACTGGGTATCTTTCCAAAGGAAAACAAGTTATTATGTGAAAAAGGCACATGCACACACATGTTTATAGCAGCACAATTCTCAATTGCAAAGATAATGTAAACAATCTAAGTGCCCATAAACTAACGAGTGAATAAAGAAAATATGGTATATATACACCATAGTCTACTACTCAGCCATAAAAAGGAATGAAATAATGTCTTTTGCAGCAATTGGATGGAACTGGTGGCCATTATTCTAAGTGAAGTAACCCAGGAATGGAAAACCAAATATCATATGTTCTCACTTATAAGCTATGAGACTGCAAAGTCATAAGAGTGGTATAATGGACTTTGGGGACTCAGGGGTGAGGGTGGTGAAGAAGGGGAGTGAGGGAAAAAAGACTACATATTGGGCTCAGTGTATACTGCTCAGGTGACAGGTGCACCAAAATCTCAGAAATCACCCATAAATAACTTACTCATGTAACCAAAACCTACCTGTACCCCCAAAACAATTGAAATAAAAAATAAATTAAAAAAATTTTCTATGAACACAGTTGCTTTTAAAGTGGATGGAAAAAATCCTAGAGCCAGAAAGTCTTGTTTTTCCCCACACTCCGACTTAAACATAACTTTGCACGGTATTACTTTTCTCTTATTATTTATAAGCAGAAAGGAAAGGCTAAACATCAACCAAATAATTGACCCCAAATACAATAGATTTCAAGAGAAAATGTATATCATTTAGCCTGAATGTAGATTCTTTCAACAAGTAGTAAGCTTTTCTTTTTTTTTGACTGATGACATAATCCTAAATTTGTAATGATTTCAGTGTAACACTGGTAGGACTAACAGGTTTCCATGCAAAATCATCAGCTACAATTACAAAATACTTTTTTGTTTGTAATGAAAAGCAGAAGCAATACCAAAATACTTAGGTTAGTTGGACATATTAAAGATTGTATCACCAACTGTACTGGCAATGAAATATTAGAAAGAGTAGAAAGTTTCTCAGTCATTTCCTACCTGCTGGCCATATTCCACTCGAGGGCTGGATTTTGAGAATTCCTTTCACTCTCTGTCAGCACCCCTCCTGTGCCACTTTCTTTTTCTGGTTTTAGTTGATCCCATTGTGCAGTACCAATATTGATGGACTGCAGGTCTATTTGGTATTGTCTATCTTCAATTTCTGATCCAGGATCTCGAAGAATTCCTAAGTTCAAGGCTCTCCTGTAAAGGCAGTTAAAAAAAAAAAGAGATAAAATAAACATATTATGTTTATCTTGTTCACTAACATAATGTCAACACCATTTTTTTTTCCTTTGGATTACTGATGAATAAACTGGGGCACATCTATGAAAAAGGTTTCAGAAAGTTAGTACATATTATGACTTGAAAACATATCCAAAATTTATCATTTACAGTAATCTACACTATAATGATTTCTTATGTTATTCCTGGCACCATACTCTTTTTCTAAGTACTTTCACATACATGATTTCAATCCCTGAGATGCTCTGAGGTTCTATTTTTATGTCAATTTTTACCAATGAGAAAATAATTCAGTGGTTGAAAGACAGCTGAAGTTACAAAACCTTATGTGACAAAACTACAACACAAATTCAGTTTTTTTTGTGTTTGTTTTTTACTCAAAACCCTATCCCTTGCTAATCATCTACCTTCCTCTGAGCTTTGATTTCTTGTTAGAAAAGGTGATTGAATCTTCTTAATCTATTTCACCCCCTCAGCCCTTGCTCTCCATTCTTCATATAACCCAAGTGTAGTTGTTGAGAAATGACAAGGTTTCTGAGGTAGAGTAACAGTGAGGTTTACAGCCCCACACAGAGTTGGAACATACAATGATGATATTATTGGGTCCATTGCTAAGCAAATGAATAAAATAATCTGTAGCTTAAAGCTAAATTAAAGGAAGCAAATAGACAAAAATGTTCATGAAGGTTTTAGAGTAAAATAGTAAGGCAGTAAGGTAGGGTGGGAAACGAAGTTTGAGAGCCAGACAAAACTTAAGTCAAGTTTTTGCCTGAATTTGGGGCCTTTTTCTTATATTATGTTTTGTTGGTTAAGAAAAGTTTTAAAAAGTAGAAGATCAAAAGAAAAATAGTATTTGGCCTCCATAAAAGTTTTTTCAGCAGAAAAGCTGAAATAACAAAGAGAATAAAAATAGTCTTACTATAGTAGAAATATTTTTTTAAAAGCTTCAGTCACAGACATTTAAAAAATACAATTAAGTTAATCACATCAATTGAACACTAATGAAACTTATTATTGGGAGGTTAAGGGGGGAGTGTTGGGTCCTAGTGTGAAAAGTACAGAAAAAGGCAAAAATATGATTCAGTTTATGCCTTGCTTGACTAAGGTGTGGAGGGCAGACCAAGCACTCCCAGAGGCTACTTAAATGAGAATAGACAGTGAATGATGGCTCAGACTCAAAACAGCAGTTGTCTGGGCCAGCTGCTCAGGACTGGGCCAGGCAAAGTGAGGGCTGACATTAACTCAAGTGAAGAGAGAAGCAGGGAGCAGACCTCAGCTCAGGTAGTGAGATGTCAGAGGGAGTTACAGACAAGGGGAGAGGGGAACAAACAGCCACTGGTCAATGAACCATAGCAGGAGCCAGAGCAACTGAAGATAATTCTCATGATTCCTAATTTGGACCTGCTTTTTCTCCTTTTTAACTTAGAAAAATTACAGGAAAGGTAACTTAAAATTTTACACAAATTTAAGAACTGTATTAGAAATAGGGCTCATAACTGGGCCATCAATCCTTTCAATCTGCCTTAATGAAGGTAAAGACAAAAGAAATGAATGAGAATGGGAGTAGGAAGGAGAGGCATTTTTGAGAGTCTCACTGTAGTAGAATGTTCTAGTTTTATTTAAATATTGGTGTAATTCTGTTAATTCTTAAAAGGCCCAGTTCAGCTATCACTTTTTTTATGAAGCCTTTCCTGATCGCCCTTCCTCCAAACTTCCTCCTTCCGAAATCTGTGTTCTTAGGATCTCTCTATACTTGTAAATACAATAATATCACAATGACTTATCAGTCTTCCCAAATATACCATACATATCTTGAGGTCAGGAACTATCTATACTATCTAGCAATAGGTGAATGCTGTTTCAATTCACTGATTTGAACTGACATAAATCTTTACAAAAATCTCAGATGGAGAACCTATCTGTACACAGCAATAAGAGCAAACAGTCTTTAAAACACTAAGCTTTTGAATCAGGGCCACATAAATTCTGAGAGCCAGCAAATATCTGAGATAGCTGATTGCCTATTTCCCCAGATTATTATTCCCCATAGAAACATTACTTTTACTTATTTTAAAACAGTCAATGCTCTCTACATTTTAAGTAAACTCCCTAAATGTATTTTTAAGGTGAACTAAAATACTTTAAGAATATCTTTGAAGGAAAAAAAAATGAAACCAAAATTAGTGCTTATTAAAAGACAAACCAACCTAATCCCAACATAAACAACCATTTTCCTATTTCCCTTGACACATGGAAAAACTGTATAATCACAGGATTACAATCACAAAAACACTGAGTTTCATCAGAGTTTTCCAATGCATTTAGGCTTATTTCCCAAGGTTTTTTTGGTTTTGTTTTGTTTTGGCCTTAAATTAAGCTATGTTCCTCCTCTCATTATTTGTCAAAAACATGATTTCCCACAGGTTCTTCTTCCCTATGCAAAAATACTTTGCATTTTGAGTGATAGCCAGATACTTTCAAAGATGCTAATTTTCAAATTTCAAAGTGTTAGGGCTCAGGATTAGTATTTCTATATTTTTTTCTTATTGCTTGCTTTTAAAAGTAAATTATATGTTTGATATATTGACATATATGTGACATACTTGATTTGAAAAAATTCAGAGTAATTTATAACATTTGATTATATAAATTCAATGTAAAAGTTCATTGCAAAACCTTTCAAATCTTCCAAAACCTTCCCAAGTTAATTGCAAAACTTTCCAGAGCTGTGGAAAGTAGGATAAACACCTGATTTATGTGAACTGTTGATTTATGTGATTTATGTGAGTTTAAAAACTCACATGACCAAGACTTCCCAATGATTATGAGCATGGAGAAATTATTTAACTTCTCTGTGCTTTATTTTGATATAAGGACTATTATAAAGATAAATAAAATATATAATCGAAAAATTATTCATAAAGTACCTTATAAATCTTAGTAGCATTAGGGAAGTATATTATATTATATGATTCTGAATGAACAGCATATTTAAACCACCAACTAACCACAGATGCACAAGTATCAAAACCAAATCCACTTCTCTATGAATGAGCTACAATGAAAACAATAAAGATAAATGTTCCTTAACATTTCCAGTACCACCTGTTTCTCAATATGGCATATCAGAAACTCTGAATGAACCTCCTGGCTCTAATAACCAAATTGCTTTAAAAGAATTTAAAGTATTTTTTTCAGACACATCCCAGAGCCAACACCAATAACAGAAGCTGCAAAGTCTCCCAAATAATGTGAAACCAGGAACTATGACAAATAAGCAGCTCCAAAGCTGACTTTTACTCTAAGGTTTTCTGGTAAATCCTGCAGACACTGATTTTCTATTCTGTTAACTTCACAGGAGGCGATGAAGCTCAGGGCTCACAGAAATGATGAATCTATTTAATAGAAGACAATTCACATAAAGCTGAGATCACCAAGGGTCACCAGCAGTGAAAGTGTGAATTAGAAACAGTCCTTCTGGGGAGCTCTGTGGTGATAGGACAGTTCTGTATCTTGATTTTTGTGATGGTGGTTACATGATCTACACGTGACAAAATTACATAGAGCACTATAAATAATCACACAAATAAGTGCATGTAAAGCTGGCAGAATCTGAATACAACTGTGTATTGATTGTACTGATGTCAACTTCCTTGATATTATACTATAGTTATTCAAGAATTTTCCACTGAGGGAAACTGGGTGAAGTGCACACAGGACCTCTCTTTCTATTTTTTTGGAATTCTTTATGATTCTACATCTCAAATTTTTTTTTAAGAAACAGTCTTCCTCACACTCAGGTAGAAAGGGACAAGGTAATTTATCAACTTACCTGTCTTTACCTTACTAATAGGCAAAGAGGCAAAAAAAAAAAAAAAAAAAACCCAAAACAAATCAAAAAACAAGAAGTTTCCACTGATGGAAACTGGGTGAAGTGCACACAGGACTTCTCTATTTTTTTGTAATTCTTTATGATTCTATATTTCAAATTTTTTTTTAAGAAACAGTCTTCCTCATGCTCAGGTAGAAAGGGACAAGGTAATTTATCAACTTACCTGTCTTTACCTTACTAATGGGTGAAGAGGCAAAAAAAACAAAACAAACAAATAAAAAAACCAACAAAACCCAAACCGAAAACAATGCTCCAAGATTTTGCAATCATGAGCCTGCATTTGGAAGTTTGAGTCTCAAATATGGAGAATCTTGCTTCAGGTTGATAGTTGCTGCCAGATGACAGGCAAAGGCAAAAGTAAAAGCACATTCTCTTGGGATGAAATCAATTTCAACTCAAAGCACTTCCACAGATCAGGTTCCAAGTGAAATGAGACGCTCACAGACAAAATTCACAATGCACATAAGAGCAGAAGCAATGGACAGACTAGCAGACATGAAATATAAAATAATTATTTAAAAAGTAAAAAACATCTTCAAAATATGAGCAGGGAACAAGATTTTAATAAGAACCATGTAGAACTACAAATAAGAAAAAAAAAAAAAAACTCAAGCAGATTAAGCCCGCCTAAAGTGATAGTGAATTAAAAGAAAGATCCAATAAAATATGGAATGTAATCAATCCAAAGAGGCAAAGAAATACTATAAATGAAAGAAGGTTAAGATTCAGGGAGAATAGAGAGAGAAAGTCTAAAAAATCCTTAATTAAATATTGAGGGATGTAATACACAGAACAAGAAGGAGGCATCATTTGAAGAGATAACATCTGAAAATTATTCCACAATTATTGAAAAATACCAAGCCCTAAATCCAGGCAGCCCAAAGTATCCCAAGACCTAAACATAAGGAAGACATTGGTAAATATATGAGTAAGTCTAAACCAATATTAGTTTAAATTAATAATAATGATGATGTCTAAACTGTGATGAGAAAACAGGCCAAAAATAAGACACTGGAAAATAACAGTATACAAATAAGGAGACCAGGTAATTTGGGATAAAATGTTC